ACACTACAGATACGACCTCATTTCCACCTCCATGCTAGTCATTCACACCTGTTCCCCCTCTGTTTCCCTATAGTGGACCGGAGCCAGACCGGTTACCTCCTCTTCCCGCCGCCGCCGCCGCGACACCACCCACTTCCCTGCAAACACTGGAGACGCAGCCTCACTCCTGCGCCGCAACCTCTTCCCTGCCCAGGTGCGCTCCCCGGGATTCGACCCGATTCTCCCACTTCTCAAGCCCTGCTCGGATCATCGATCTCACCGCACCCCCTCTTCCCAAGGACACACGGTTTGAGTCATTGTGGGAATGTCAAGCCCTCTGACACAGCCAACACTCCCAATTAAAGTTTGCAGCACAACCCAGAGCAGGCAATTACTGTGGCACCTGGCATGGCCAGAGGAACCTGCACAGCTGGCCACGACTTGATCTGATCTTTAGTTATTAGGCTATTTTTAAAGAAATCATTTTGTTGATATCCTATTTGTCAGCATTTTGGATTTTCTTTTTTAAAAGAAGGATGTGTGATGTGTGTGGGCGAAGTCTGGTAGACTGATAGATAGGGGCTAAAGGCCTTTATGTGAAAATGCGGACAAGAGCAAATGCACCTGCCACCGAACACCCCCCTCGCTACGTCAGGGCTCCTTAAGGGGTTATAGGAGGTGGCTCTCTGTGGCCTTTTCATTCTTGGCTGCTACCTAATTAAAACATAAATATGTTTCAATTATCACAAATGATTTTTATTTATCCACTAGGAAGCAGACTATAATCCTTTATGCATCTTATGAAAGCTACTAAATAATTATTGGGTGACAAAGGCACTAAGTACTACCAATTTTGGGGGACTGATTTGACCTTGGGGTGGGGGCGACTGGTTGAGGGAAGTCTGAGGAGGGCTTCTGTCACCTTAGTTTCCATAACTGTCCTTTCCTCCCTAGATCACTGTCCACTTACGTGGCATGGAGACAAAGCCCACTCCAGCCGTCCCTTTTTCTTTGAACTTAGCTGAGTTGGGGTGACACTCAGGGTGGAACTCAGATTAGAAATAGTTGTTTGTTTTGAAAAATCCAGAGTTTTTCTCTTAAAATGAAGTAATGCAAGTTAAAGGTCTTCCATACTATTAAGAATCATTTTAGATGGTAGTTATCATTAGGGTAACAATGACTGTGATCATCATAATTACCATCTTCATCACCACCACCTGCATCACCATTGCCTTCATCACCATCTTTAATTATCACTACCATCACGTGACCACAGTCACAATCACCACCACCTTTATCACCACCACCAGCACATCTGAACCACTCTGATCCTGACCTTCACCTCTCAAGTTCATTTCTTCTCCTGTCAACTTTTTTTTTTGAGACAGGGTCTCAGTCTGTTGCCCAGGCTACAGTGCAGTGGTGTCACTATAGCTCACAGCAACCTCAGACTCCTGGGCTCAAGCGATCCTCCTGCCTCAGCCTCCCGAGTAGCTGGGACTACAGGCGTGTGCCATCATGCCCGGCTAATTTTTTCTATTTTTAGTAGAGACGGGGTCTCACTCTTGCTCAGGCTGGTCTCGAACTCCTGACCTCAAGCAATCCTCCCAGAGTGCTGGGATTACAGGCATGAGCCACTGCACTCGGCCCTGTCAACTTCTTTCTTTATAAATTTATTCTTTCAAAAGAATAGGATTGGAAAATAGAAAAATTATTCCCTATTTTTTTATTATTTTAAGAATTGTATCTGTTTTCTTCATGAATAAGTTAGACGCTAAAGATCTATCTATCACTTTTTTTCGATTTTTGGTTACATTTCAGTGGCTCTTCTATTTTTTAGTTTTTCTTCATCCTCCACCTCTCTCTCAGGTGGTTTAGGTCTCAGGCCCTAAAAGACAACTGATGTGTCACCGTAGAATCCAGAGGACACCTCCAGGTGCCCTAGCAGAGAAACCAGACCTTCCCTACTTGGAAACAGCCGGGAAAAGAGCAACTGAATCATTTAATCTCTTTGTGGCAAAAGCAGTACATCTCTTTACTCAGAGTCAAAAGTTTTTAAAAAGGAAGAAAGCAGCAAATCTGAATCTTTGGTCAGCACCTGGCGCTTTGGCACAATGATCTGCACACCGTTGACATCAGTAAACGTTTGCGGATTTACACTTAAGTGTCAGCTTTTGGGCAGGAAAGGAGTGAAATCCACGGTCCCCTGGACAGCCATCTTTATTGTAAATCTCTTTTTGGGTCACATCCCTAATCTCTCCCACTCCTGCCTTTTGTCTTTTTTCAAAATTTGTACCACTGATGCTGAAATTGTTTGAAATCTATTGGCTAGACTTAAATCCAACAGGGTTTAAATACCAACACCATCAGTGACTTTCGAAAAAATCATTTAATTTCTTTTGGCCTTAGTTCTCTCGTGTGTGCAGTGGGAATCACCTCCATACGGGCTCGTTGTAGGAACTGGATGAACTAAGTTCTCTACAGTAGATCCCGGGTACCTGTGCGTATACGGCAGGTGTGAGCACCGCACATGGGCCTTTCCTGTGGGAAATGACTCCCCCCTCTCTCTGCGGGGTCCACTTCTGGGGTAGCCAAAGGAAGCCGAGGCTGCATGCTCTTGGGGACCAACCCTCCCTGTACCATCAGCCCGTCTTTACCATGCTCAGCCATTAGGAGAATCTGATAATTGAATTAGAGAAGTGTAACGTGGACAGACCAGGAGGCAGAACTCCCGTGTGAGTTTCTGCCCTTGCACGCACTGCGGGGACGCTATGAGACGGCTCGTCTCCACAGATGGGGATGGTTCCCACCGCGTGGCTGAGGCTTGGGAAGGTGCAGGGCTGGAGCCAGAGAGTGGAGAGAGGGAGTCCTGAGCCCGACTGCCACCTCTGCCCCTGTTAGCTGTGTGACTCTGAGCAAACTGCTTGATCTCTCAGCTTCCTCCTCTGCAGAAGGGGGGTCCCGAAGCAGCTTGTATGGTGGTCGTGAGGACAAAACATAACCTTTGGCCTACGGGAGGGTGCTCAGTAGACATTGTTTTCCTCCCCTTCCTTTCCTCTCCAGCCTCCCTTCTTTCTGAAGACGCCCTTTCCTTAGTATTTCCCCCTCCGCCCCAGGTTTCTGGATTCAGATTTCAGAAATGCCGGCTGCTCAAGGATGGGCTGTGCACAACCTCAGCTCTTAGCAGGACGGACACTAAAGAATCCAATCCGCGATAAATGTTTGCATAAATGAGATCGACAACAACGCAATTATTTGGAATCCTTATTAAATTGTGAAATCGAATGGAGCCGAAATAATAATAATAATTGCATCGAAAGTCAGCGGACAGTTACACCCTCTCATATGTCTGAAGATCCTGCCCTAGTTTATTATTGATGCTCTATCATGCAGCTATTAAAAAGCAGACGTCCGAGCTGACAATACTAATAATGGTGATGAATCTCTCCGGCACGGACGGCTCTCACTTTGTTTTAATTGGAGGGAAGCTATGGAAGTGTTTTCCCTCATTTTCAAAAAATCTTCTTTTTTTTCTCAGGCCATCTGTCTGGCTATTAAAATCCCATCAGCTTCATTGCGAGACCGCTTACTTCCCCCACGCCTGCCATCCCGAAGGGGGTCCTCACAGCCAACTGACTCAGGATCGCTCGGGCCCCTCCAAAGGGACAGCGCGGTTGCTCTCAACTCTTCCTTCGGGGCGGTCTGCCTTTCCGGGCCTGTCATTGCTGTGCAGACAAGAGGCTCTGCGGTTTATTTCCAGCCCCCACATTAATACCCAGAAATTAGTTTTTATCCTTAATAATGTGTTGATTCATTCAACTGTAAGAAATGACTATGTCTCTTCTCAGCGGTTCAGGGTCTAACAAGACAGTGTTGGATCTTCCGAATAAGCACTCCCGGGGCGAAGTCCACACTCAAGTTCAGCGCCTGCTTTATGGCGAAGACGGCCCTCGAAGCCCACGGAGCTAAGGGGGCGAGTCGGGACTGAGGGTAGGGAGGAAACACCTGCGTCCGTCCTGACTTGACACCTGGGTTCCTGCCACCGACACTGTGTCTCTTAGGTTTGTGTGTCACGTCATCCCCCAGTCCTTTCGGTCATTATCGTCTTGCAAGACAGCCCTCACTGAGATGACAAAGCTGCCTTCCTCCCCGAGAGATCTAGTAGCTTCCCCAACAAGCCCCTCTCCCTGCCAGAGGTTAATCTGCGACTGGAAGATTTGAGGTGGCGAATGATCCCTCTCGCTCGGACGGACTCGGGTGGGGACATCTCCCGAAGACCTCTCGGGGAGCCCTCGGGAAAACCCTCTCGCACCGACCAGCGTGTGGACCCGGGAGGCAGGGCCTCCCCTCCCGGGGCTGCTGTCCGCACCACCGCCCGTCTGGGTGCAAGAAGGGGTCAAATTTAACAAAGAGCCACGAGCTTCGATGCCTCGCAGCGGCTCTGGGGTCCAGGCGATCTCTGACCTCTGACCTCAGACCTCAGACTGGCCTCTGACCGCCTTCTCACTCTCTACGCCGCTGCCTCTTTTACCACCTAGAGGACAAATCTGATGCGTAATGGGGATGAAGGGCCACCAGTCCCGCCACGTCCCTCAGACCCGGCGGACGCTTTATGGGATGCTTTATGGTGGGCGCTGTGGCCCACCGAGGCCTCTGAGATGGGTTCGGGTGGCACAGGGACAGACACTTCAACAGATCCGAGCTGAATATTTTTACTGTGTGTTAGAAATATAACTAGTGCGTTGACTCAGTGATTTCTTGGATACTATTGCTTAGGATGAGGCTCAAACGGGATTAATTTAAAGATGAGTGTTTGGCTGATAGCAGCACGGGTGGTGTCCGGATATAGCAAAAATAGTGCACTTGGTACCCAGATGATGGAAGGGTGGGGAGTCCTGGTTTAAAACATCACCATCTTTTTGAGCTTCTACTGTGTGTGCAAGGCCTTTATATAGATTGTTTTAATTTGGATAGCATGCTGCTCGAGAAGCAGTGTTCCTGTTTTCTGCGGCAGACAGGAAACGGGGGTTCAGAGAGATCGAGCACCTGCCTGCGGTCACAGGGCCAGGCAGGATTCGAACCCAGGCCTGTCTGATGCCCAGACCGGGCTCCTTCTGCCAGCTCGTGCTGCCCCATCAATCCGGGAAGAAACTAGGGCAGGAAGTGGTTGGGTTCTAGGGAGAATCTGTTGGTTCCGGGCTGCTGCGGCGTGTGGTCCTGTTGTCGGAGGCCCTGGCCTGAGACTTTAGCCTGGGTCTCGGCCACAGGGCCTGCGGCTTCCTTGTGTCACTCTGTCCACAGCTATCCACCCCCGGCCTGGCGTCTCTCTGCGCTGTGTCTCGGTGGGCTTCCCCCGGCAGTGTTTCTGGGGGCAGCAGGGGGTGTCTCTCCTGCCTGGGGGAGCAGGCCCCTCCCTGTGGTCTGTCGCTGTTTCCCATCGCTGCAGCCAACTGTCACGGACCCTCTGGGCTCGAGCGTTCCATCTGCTCAGAGAGGGCCCGGCCGGCCAGGCCCGGCATGTTCCATCTCTGCGGGCAGCGGCCTCTGCCAGCCTCCGCGGGTGCCTCCCGCACCCGGCCCCCGCCGCCTCGCATCGCCCTCCATCCCGCCTCTGGCTCCTGTTCTCCCGTGGTCTGGAAAGCCACCGCCTTGGACATGGGGCGGGGCCGCCCCGCCCGGTCCGCCTCTGGCCACGCTCTTGTCGCCCTGAGGCCCACGGGGGCGCCCAAGGCCCACGTTCTCACACTGGAGGGGAGGCTCTTTGAAACAGACCTTCGGGCCAGGCTCTCTGTTCTCCTGTGAACTCCGTCCGTCCGGGGAGGGAGTCGCTGTTTGGGGACCGAGGCTGGCAGAGCCGCCACTCTCTGAGCTGCTGCTTCCCTGGCGAGCCAAGCCGCAGACCGGTTTGCTCCTTCCTCCCTCCTCCTTGCCGTCCTCTCTCCCTTTCCTGCTGCTTCTTTCTTTCATTAAAAACTTTCTCCGAGAGCCTACTATGCGCCAGGCACCACCTTAGCTATTAAACTCCAGCGCATGGCCACCCCTTGCACTCCCCGAGTGCCGCTGTGTGCCAGGCGGAGGGCACAGAGGCAGGCCTGACGCCGTCCCTGTCTCCAGGCCCCACTCGCGGTTGAGGACAGAAAGCCTGGACAGCAGAGAGTAAGAAAGTGCACAGATCTTTGCGCACCTCTGACCTGGCGCAGGTGGCGAACGCCTGAGGGTGGCGCTCCTGGGCTTTCCAGCCCGAGGGGGACAGGTGAGCACTGCCACCCCTCTCCTGGCTTCTGTCACCCCTCATCCTGTCAGAACGGGCCACACCTCGGATGCCAAGACAACAGCAACAGTGCCCTGCCACAGCCTGCCCCAGGAATCTAGCCTCCTCTGCGGGGAGGTGTGCCTGTCACAGAGCAACCGGGAGAGGGGAACTCCGTTTCAGAGATGCGAGGTGGGAGGAAGGGGGCGAGGGGACTCAGGAGTGCCGCGGGCAGGGCCTCCCCACGCTGGGGGCTTCATCTGCCCTGGGAGGGGCAGCAGCTGAGTGGGTGGCCCAGAGGGACGCCGGGCGAGCTGCGATGGCCAGATCCCTTGGGTCCCGCGGCACTGCTGAGCAGCTACCACGTGCCAGTCACCATGCTAGGGGCTGGAGGCCCGTGCTACTCGCTGCCGGGGACTGGGACACATGGGACCCCACACAGCCGCTTGCTGGCTCCATGACAGGGACAATCCCCTTCCCTCTCTGGGCCTCATGTTCTTCCATGACAACATGACGGTTTGGACCAGATGAGCCCTGTAACATCTCCGCTAGTCGCCTTCTCTTTTTCCTTTTCCTGTAGGACAGAACCTCTTCTTTTTCCCCAGGCATGTGGTCACCTGGAATAAAGGCTATCTTTTCCAGACTTCCTTATAGCTAATGTATGGTCATGTAACACATTTCTGACCATGAGACTAAAGCAAAATTATTGTGAGATATTTTCCAGGAAATCTCCTTAGGAGCCAGGTGAAGGTTCCTTTTGTCCTGTCTTTTTGTGCCGTCCTTCACCATGCTATGTGGAATGTGAAGGCAGTGGCTGGAGCTCTGGCGGCCCTGCTGGACTGTGAGGTTGAAGGGCACCCTGGAGGGACGGTGGAGCAGGGAGCTGGCAGGAGCCTGCGTTGCTAACCAGTTTGTGGAGCTTCCAGACCAGCCTTGTATTTCATGCCTCCAGATTCATTTACTTGAAAAAGAATAAGCTTTTTGTCTTATTGAAGCCACTGTTAAGTTTATTTTTTTGTTATTTGCAGTCAGATCTAATCCTTTCTGAGACAAACTCTAAAATCCCTTCCAGGTGTTCCATTCTGAAGTTGTGACATTAGGAGAATTCTTTAGGCACACACTCCCCGAGGTAGGCAGAATAATGACCTCCCATAAGGTGTCCAGGTCCCAGTTCCTGTACCCTGTGACTGTGGTACACTGTCTGGCAAAGGGGATTAAGGCTGCAGGTGGAATTAAGCCTGCTAATCAGCTGACCCTGAGACAGGGAGATTATCCTGGATTCTGTGGGTGGGCCCAAGTCATCACAGGTGCTCAGGTGTGGAGGAGGGGGCAGGAGAGCTTGACAAGGACTCTGTCCAACGTTGCTGGCTTTGAAGATGAAGGGAGTGACCACAGGCCAAGGAATGTGGCAGCCTGTATCAGCTAGGACAGGCAAGCAGGTTCTCCCAGGAGCCTCCAGAAGGAACCAGCCCTGCTGACACCTTAGCCCAGAGAGACCTATTCCAGACTTCTGACCTCCAGAACAGAACTGTCAGATAATAGGTGAGTACTGTTTTAAGCCACTACATTTGTGGCAATTTGTCACAGCAGCCGTAGGAAACAATACACTCCCTCTGTTTCCTCCTGGGTAAAATGAGAATCGTAACACCCACATTATAGCACCGTGGAAGGTGACAAGCATCAGGTCCTTAGGACAGGGCCCAGCACACAGAGGACGCTCAAACCCTAGCTCTCAGGGAAAATCAGCCCTTCTTCTCATAGCCCTGGTCACCCTGTTTAACCATAAATTATAATGTTGGCTGAAACAGACTTATAGGAAGTGCTGGGACTGAACTAATGGCTGTCCCAGACTCACGCACTCTGAAGTCGTTGGGCGCCTGGGAGGAAGGTCATTACCCTCACAGTAGAGAGGGGGAAGCAGGCCCAGCCCGCTGGCAACAGAGGTGGGATTTAGACCCACTTCCACCAGAACGGCCATGTTCCAAAGTGCGGCTTCTCCGAGGGTGGTCTGCACACCTGGGAGCAAGAAAGGCGGAGCCTCAGCCCCCGCCTGTACCCCGGGACCACACCCGCATTCCAACAAGATTCCGGGTGGTTTGCCTACAAGTTGGAGTTTGCCAGGGGCTGCTCTGGACCAAGTGCTCTGCTCTCTCCTTGACCGTGCCGTTTTGGGCCTCGGGTGATTTCACTTCCTTCATGTGCTTTTTGGCTTTACCCCCTCTGTTCTACTGGGCAAACTCCTGTTCACCCCGCAGAGCCCACTGCAGAGGGCACTGCCCTTAGGTCCCCTTTCTGACCTCCTCGTAGAGTTGCTCTCTTTTCTAGACTTCGCACGTGCCTGTATCAGTGCCCTGAGCTCACAGGTAATGGTCTTGCTACCTGCCTGTGTCTTGGTCTAGGACTTGATCTCCTTCGGAGCAGGGGCCGCCTCGTGGCACCCAACACACATTTACCAAGCACCTACCGTGTGCCAGGTGCCGATCTCAGCCCTGGGGCTGCGGCAGTAAATAAAGCAGGCCAAGGACCCTGGTGCTTATGCTCTGGGTGGAGAGAAATAACAGGCACTGTAGACAAAGTCAGAGAGCATCCGAAAGAACGAAGAAAATAAATTAGGCAAGAAAGACGGAGGACAGAGCCCCCCACCCCACCCTGCCCACCCCGCCGCCGACTAGTTTCCGTGGCCTGCGGACTCGCGCAGAGCCTGACTTCTGTTAAACATTCCAAAGTGATGGAATTGGATCACATCTGACCATTATCGCAGATGAAACTACGTATCTTTAAGTTCAGATCCTTTCTGAGCATTTGCTGGGCAATCTTTCCTGCCCAGAAAAAATCCTACAATGTCCCTCTTCTCCACGAAGTCTTCCAAGATGAAAGTGAGGAGCGCAGACGCCCCGGGCCCGCGGCGAGCCTGCTCCCCTCTCTCTGCAGCCCGCACCGCCAGCGGCCGGCACCTGGCATTTAGTTATTGAATACAGCACGCCACGTGGCTGGTCAGCACAACAGGGTGTGCTCCCCCAACTGGGGTCAAGGTCGGAAAATGTCAGCCTCTGAAAGGAAAGCTGGGAGGGTGGCCTAAAATGGGTGAGAGTCTCTCTCTTTAAAAGCAACAACTCACCCTAGGGATGCTCTTTAAAAGGGAGTAGATGAGGCTAGCCTTCTACCTGAATCTTATCAGCAAGCACCGCTCAGGGATGTGGGATATTTATGTGTTTATTTACAGATGCCTGGCTTCCGTCCCTCTGCTTCTGTGAGCTGCTCTGCCCTGTCTGCGCTGGTGTCTTTTTAGTTATGTTCCCAGCTGTCAAAAGACAAAGGCTCCGCCTGTAATTCGCCATAGGCCTAGAGGAGGATTTGCAAACTTAGATGCCTACAGAGGCCGGGCAAAGGCCACTAAAGGAGCGAAGCAGCCACGTGAGCCACGTAAGCCTCTCGGGAGCAGTGGGGACTTGGGGGAAGTACAGAGCACCTGCCACACTGAAGAGACATCTGCTGCCCAGCTCCTGCGGGTGGTTGCCAAGCAGGGATGGGACCCAGGGTTACCAAAATCTTCTGTTTTTTTTTCCAAGGGAAGCCAAAAATGTGCATTTTTATAAGAAAGTTCTCAATGTGTAGAATATTCAAGAGCCAAACACAAGCACTTGCAGATCACCCTTTGCAACTGCTAGTACAATAAATAGTAAACACACGACTAACAAGCACCTGGCATTCACCAAGTGCTTACTATGTGCTGGCACCTGGGTGAGCACCTTCTGCGGAGCTTCTTCCCCAAATTTAACAACCAACTCATGAGGAGACACAGTTATTTCCCCCATTTTACACATGAGAAATGAACTTAGAAAGGTTAAATTCTGCATCCATGCTCACATGGCTGGCAAGCGATAGGGCCGGGATTCGAACCCAGGCTGGCGGGGGCCAGAGCTGACATGAACTTCAGGCCCGGCAGGAATAAATACATACTCTGATTATGACAGTGCCAGGAGAACTCTGCGATTAAATGTGCATTGCAATGTCAGAAGCAAAGCTTTGCACGAAATCCTGTATTCATTCCTTCTTTCATGCATCCAACAAACACTGATCAATTGCAGTCTAACCATCCCCCTGGGGGGTCTCTGTCCAGTCTCATCCCTTGTTACTAGTACCTCCCCTCCCCCACGCCCAGCCCTCCAGCAATGGCATTGACCTCACACGGTCCCCTAAACACCCTGTGCTCTCTCACACCTCTGTCTAGGATGGCACCCGGCACGTGGCAGCGATTAGTAAATCTCGTTGAAGAAACGGATGGCGGAACTCACGGTCCAGAGGTGGAGACAGCAATGGAAACAGGCCACGTGGCAGACAGCAGGTGCTGGGGCGGGGGTGTGCACGGCTGCCGTGGAGGGAAAGAGAGAGGGACCCCAACCCTGGTGGGAGCAAGGTGGGAGGCAGCGGAGACACCGGGGGAGTGACGACCTCTCTAAGTCCTGCCGACAAAGTAGGAAGGGGCTGGGAAAGGGCCGTCCAGGCACAGGCAGGGGAGAGGGAATCTCTGCAGTCACCTCCTCCATCTGCACACGCTGCAAGGGAGGGATGTCCTTGCACTTTGAGCACGCTTCTGTTTTCAAAGCAACGAGAAACTCTGTCCGCCCCTCTACCTTCCCCCCACTCTGCTACGGGTAAGGAGCATATCCCAATTCAAGCTTCAAAATGTCGAAGACTTCACTGTGCAAGGGGGTACACACACAGCAACTTCCACTCAGCATTGCCTGCAACTTCTCAAAGATATTTACTTATAGATTTGGAGGCCAAAGGAAAATTGTCAATACAATTAGTATAATAGAAGGCTGTACACAGGCTTTTGGGTTGGACAGACCTGGGTTGGAACCCCAGCTCTGCCACTTTCTGTGCAACCTTGTGCAAGTTACTTAACTTCTCTGAGCCTCTTTAGATGGAGATAATGGGTATCATGGCACATACCTTCGGAATTGTGAAAATTAAATAAGAGAAAACCTCTGGAAAGCATCTAAAACAGTGCTTAGCAGAGAGCAAGCACTCTGTGAATGACTAGCTATTATAATTATTACTATCGTTATTAGTGTTGTGATGGCAGAATACTTGTTTTGCAAACAGCTATTTTGTTCTTTGCAAGAAATATGCTGGAGGAAAATTGGGGAGGAGAATTGTCAACTTCAGGGAAAATTCAGGAAGGATAAAGGATAAGACTTGTCCTTTCTGGGAGATAAAGACTGAGCTCCAGGTTGGGGGAAATGTGACAGCAGGGCGTGACCACCCTGCACGCAGCGTGCAAGGAGAGCAGAGCGAGGCAGGGGAGGGAGGATCCAGGGGTCAGCCCCGGCTGTCTCCAGTGGGTTTTGCCGAGTGCCAGCTCGGACAGGCTGCCACTGGGGGGTATAAGTCGCACAGTGGACGGTATGGCAGAGCAAGGGGCGGGCTCTCCGTGCAATGAGCTACAGCAGCCACACACCTGGGGCCGTGTCCCTAATCCTTGGCATTCTTGTGAGCAGCTGGAAGGCTACCCAAGGTCAAGGAAGTTCAGGGAAGACTGAACAAGACGGTCAATAAGGAAACAGGGCGGCGGCCCCCCCAGGCACAAACCCAGGGCTGCCAAGTCGGTACCTCTGGGCGGGGCGGTAACTCACAAGGATTTCCACGGGGAGGAAAGGCGAGCTGCCCAGCAGGCCGAGGCTTACCAGCTTCCTGAAGCTTTAAGGCAAAGCCGTGGCCCAGGAGGGCCCAGAGAGCCTGCAGGGCGCAAGGGAAACACCTGCCTGTTCTCAAGGGCTTGGAGAATAGGGGTCCAGCCAAGTCTAGGAGAAAAGACTGCCGGGAGTTTTTGCTTAAAAGCCAGTCTCCTTCCCCGCATGGGGAGCCCCTTGAGGCCGGCCCCGTCTCTGCTCATTCGCTCCACAGGCAGCTCCTGAGACCCTCAGGGGACGAGGCTGGGGACGACGGCGCTGCACAGGCAGACACGGCCCCTGCCGCCCTCACGGAGCTCACGGTCTGATAGGGGGGCCCAGGTCAGAAACACGCAAATGCTAAAAAAATAAAAAGTTAAAGAAGGCAGTAAAAGAGAGTAACGCGACTGGGTACCCTGTTAGACAGGGTGGCCAGGAAGACTGCTTGAGAAGCGACCTTGGACCAGACACCCGCTGTAATCGCCGTTTGTGACGCGGGCCCGGACGCAGTGTGTGCTCAGCAGTGCTCGTCACACCCGGAAGTGAGGCGAGAAGGTTCTGGATGTGCTGCTGCTGTACACCCCTCACGATCCCCCTTCCCCCTCACTCCCCATGTGCCACGACCAACTTAGCGCCAGTCACCGGTTACTGCAACGGCCTCCGCACTGTGCCTCCCACCGCTCGGGGACTGTCACCACCCCCCCCGTCCCATCCGTCCATTAGACCCTCAACAGCCGGTGATCTGGAGGGTGGGACCCTCCCTGGCTTTAGCCCGCCCACCCCCCTTTTTATCATGCTGAAACACGCACTGCTCCGTGAGCCACTTCTGTCCCGTGGGGATCACGTGTCTACTCTGTCCCGGCCTCATCCTTTCCTGCCTTCCACCTTGCAGCCACACGGGACCATGGGTACTCCGTGGGCATCTGTGTTTCTGCACATGCCATTCCTCCTGCTGAAGTGCTCTTCCCTCCCTTAGCTCGCTCGCTCGCTCGTCCTTGGCGTCCTTCAGAACGTAGGCTCCCCTGGCATCCCGTCCTCCCCCGGCTCCGCGCTCCCAGGATCCTTTGCACTTGTGTTTCATGCTGTGCCGTCATCATCATCTGTTCACTGGTGTGTCTTCTCTACCAGACTGAGCTCCTCCAGGGTGGAGATGGAGCCTCTGGACTCCACCCTAGAGTCTCTCGAACATCCCTGGCAGGTGCTCAGGGAATAGTTGTTGAGCCAAGAGCAACGATCACCCTTTTCCTCATCAAGAAAGTTGCTGGTAGCACCACATTCCTCTGCTCTATGCTGATTCCTGAGTCACAGGACAGGCACGAGCTGCAAGCTGGAAAAATCCCTTCGGCTCTCTCAGCACCCTGCCTGCATTTCTCCCTGCCAGCAAGATAGCGCACCCTCTTCTTTTGATTCTAAGACACGTATTTTAAGTTTCAAGGTTTCTGAAATTAGAGTGCATTTTATAATTAATGTGGAACATCAAATTTGTCTCCCCCTCCCCTGAAGGTAATTTTTCGGTAGCTAGTTCATTTTTCAATTGGTGGGGTCTTAGAACCGAGAGGAGATGGAACTGGGAGGAGAAAGACTTTTATGCGCCCAGAAGAAAGGACCAGGGTGCTGGCCAGGCCGTAGTGGCTCCCCAACAGCCCCAGGGCAGGTGACATGCGTGCTGGGCATTGGGGAGCACGGTTAACATCTCTCTACTCTCCTTCCTATTTTATAAAAAGTCTAGTGGTTATAACTGAGCCTCATTCAAATTCCAGCTCAAATCCTCGATGATCCTAACTGATTGTAAAAGATGCCAGGAATCTCTCCGAATTTGTGGGAGGGTGATAAGGAGAGGCGATGCCAGGGGCTGTCTCAAAGGTCTAGCATGAAATGAAGCTGTTTTGGGAGATGCCTGTTCCTTAGGATCCCATGCTCAGATGCCCAGAGGGGCTCGGGGGCAGGCCTGGGGGCTCGTTTACCATGCCTACGTATCACTCAGGGGGGCCCCCACTGCCAACACCTCCACCAGTATTTTTCGAACTTAGTGGATTTGAATTTGGCTGAATCTGTTTCCTCCCTTCTCTGCACTGTCAGGGGACATTGTGAGGCCTAAGAGACCCCCACACCCAGGTCGGGGTGCAAGCGGCAGGAGCATGGCAAAGATGCGAAGGGAAGGGGCTGCTCTAAGCCTCACAACAGACTTAGGGACAGGCATTATCATCTCCGGTCAGCAGATGGTGACAGTGAGGCACAGAGACGGAATTGACTGGCCCTAGGTCACACAGCTTATACGATAGAAGACAGAAGACCCCAAAAGCAAAACTCTTGAACAAGACTAACAAGGCCCTTGGGGTCCTGACCACTCCGCTTCCCCCTCCTACACCGTCCAGCGTCACCTCTCCCGATACACACCCCCTCCCTCTCGGTTTTCTAGCCATCCTGGCTTTCACCCAGTACTTATCTCACTTTTATTCTCCTTCATCTCTGCACTTGCTGCCCTTTGAATGTTCAAAGGGGAATGTTCAAAGGGGAATGTTCAAAGGGGAATGAAGAGGGGAATGTTCTTTCTTCCCCTCTTCACCCAGTTAACTCCTATTCATCCTTCAGAGCCCCATTCCCATCTCACCTCCTCAGGGAAGCCTTCCCTGGTTAGATACAATCCCAGTATTATAAGCTCACAGTCTCATGCATCTCCCTGGATAGCACTTATCAGAGTTGTAATTTATATATAATATATGTAATGTATATGTGAATTTTTGAATTCAGGTCTGCCTCTTCTGCGAGGCTCTCAGCACCCTGAGGGCAGTGACTCTGAAAGATGCTGCTTCCCATTATGTCCCCAAGGCCTGCCCTAGCGTTTTGCACCTCGTAGGGGCTCATGAAGGCTTAACCAAGAAAATAAATGAGCGAAGGAATTGGCTGATCTGTGGCTGTAAACTAACCCGAAAACTTGAAATTCATATTTCATTTGAATATGAGTTTTTGGTCAAAATACTTATATTTGAGGCTAAAAGGAGCCATTGAGTTTTGATAAATTAAAAAATCTCTTGCATTATCAGTCTGGAGGTGTATCTTTTCCTCCCTGGACCTGAAAGCAAACACCCACGGGAAGCTCTCTGTGGTCGGATCTGTGTGACGGGCACTTTGGATGGCGTGGAGGGAGGAAGGTGTGGCCAGAATCTATTTGGGGGCCTTGCACCACCAGAGCTTCCTTCTCAGGCATTTACTTTCTCTCAAAGCACGACTTCCCATTCTCTTCTTTACTATTGTCCCTCGTGTGTGGAAACTCTCTCCTTTCTCTCTTTCCTCCCATCTCTCCCTCCCTCCTGCCCTCCCTCCCTCTTTTCTCTTGGTCTCTCCTCTGTGTTGAGTTCATTAGTTATTTCTTTAGAATGTCATAAAAAATGATGCTTTGGCCCCCGCTACTCACTGTGTGTAAAGAATAATCCTTTGGTGATATGAAGAGACCACCATTGCTGAACGCCCCCCATGTGGCAGGCAGTGGTCATGTGTTCATCAACAAGGGCAGGGTGACATCTGGCACTGTCATGTTTGCTGTGGGTACAGAAGGGAGCAGAACAGACTAAAATCCCTGCCCTCGTAGGGCTGGTAGTCTAGTGGCAGACAGACAAGGAACATAGTGAGCAAGCAGTGCAGTGTGCTGGAAGGGGTAGGCACTCCACAAACACAAAAATAAATAAAACCACTAAGGGTGCTGGGCATGGTGGCTCACACCTGTAATCCTAGCACTCTGAGAGGCTGACTCAGGAGGATTGCTCCAGGTCAGGAGTTCTAGACCAGCCTGAGTGAGAGCGAGACCCCATCTCTACTAAAAAATAGAAAGAAATTAGCCGGACAACTAAAGATATATATAGAGAAAATTGGCCGGGCATGGTGGCACATGCCTGTAGTAGTCCCAGCTACTCGGGAGGCTGAGGCAGGAGGATTGCTTGAGCCCAGGAGTTTGAGGTTGCTGTGAGCTAGGCTGATGCCAGGGCACTCTAGCCCGGGCAACAGAATGAGACTCTGTCTCCAAAAACACCCCCCTCCAAAACAAAAAATGACTAAGGGAGTCTATCAGGGATGTAGGGTGGAGGATGTTGGTTGCAATTTCAAATGAGGTGGTCAGGGAAAAGCAGGTGACAGACGTTCATTTATTTAATCCCTAAACCACCAACCACCTTTGAGGTGGATATTATATTTCCTTTTTTACAGGAAAGAGGCTTGGAGAGGTTAAATAACTTGCCCCAAATAACACACAAGGCTGCGGTGCAGGAAGCGAACTGAGTCTGGGTGGCTGCAAAATTCTTTCGATGACACCACAAAGCTACATCTGAAAACTTAACAAGTTACAGGCGATGTCCATTTGCTATTTTCTGAAAATGCTTGAAATCGTAAAGCAATGGGCCATTTACATCGAGGACACTTCCAAGATGAAAGGACAAAAATAAAGAGATGCGTGGTGAGTTTGGCCTGAAGTTCGGGGTGAGAAATTGAATGTCACACTTCCTCGGCCTTAGCCACTCAGCTCCCAGGAGTGAGGGGGTCAGGGAAAAGTCATCGCCACTTCGAAAGGTGCAGGACAGCTCCAGACAGCAGCTAGGAGGCGGTAGTATGTTGGGGGAGTCAGGTGGCTCGGAATGCAGGCTTCCTGGGTGCTCCATGGGGGACTTAGTGGGACAGAGACAGAATAGAATCCGGTGCACGCAGTGAGTGGGAAAGAAGGCCGCAGCAGCTCGGGTCCACTGCACAGAGCTCTCGGGAGGCCTTCAGGGTGCACGTGGCAGGGGGAAAATGTAGCTCGATGAGCATAAGAGGCCTGGATTCAAGTTCTGGCTCTGCCACTTTCTGCCCACATGACCTTGGTGTGTCGTCTCGCTCCTGTGAGCCTCGTTCTGCTCACCGGAACTGGGGAAGCCAGGGCAGGGAGAGCAGTGGGAAGAGCTGGGACTCGCGGGTGGAGGAGCCAGGTTTGGCTAACAATTGGGACTGGCTGGAGACGCTGGGCCGGCTCTGCGGAGACTGCTGATGAGAACCCAGGCCTTGGGGCAAGCTTTCAGGGTCCTGTGAATTGGACGGGAGGTTTGCCAAAGAGTAGAAGGTTCTGGGGCAAGTAAACAGGGGTGGTCCATTCTGATGCGAGCTCTCTACTCAGAGGTGTCTATGCTGGTGAATAGCAAGATGGACCTGGGAGGGGTGGATGCCGGGAGGTTGCTTGGTGGGACAGGGTGTGTTGCTTCAGTGGCGCCTGCACTTCACCAGCAGTTAGGCCCTGACTCCACCAGAGTGCAGGATAGCAACGTAGCAAAACTGCACCTACACCCCATGAATATACACACATAAAAAGTAAATGGGGGGAAAAGAGAGGAAAAAAATAGATCAAACTGAACTTTGGTATACTTTAAAAGAAAAGGGAAGAAAATCAATTGGTTGTTTTTTCCTTCCCTATAGAGGCTGTGTGTACCAATCACTTTTCTTTACCTTTCTTTGAATAATTTGCCTTCACTCTAGCCAATTAGGAGCTGTGCAACCCCAATGACTGACTTCTTTTGAATTCACTTACTTTATAATAATGGACCCATGACTCATTATTATTCTTTTAAAAAACAAGTTCCAGGAAGAACAAACAAGTCATTTTGACTTCCTCACCCCTTTTCTCTCCCTCCCTCCCTCTTATCTCTCTCTCTCTCTGTCTCTCTCCCCCTTTCTTCCTCTCTCACTTGATTACTTGATTGTCACATGTCCTTACGATGTTTGCACTCATTTCAGCAATTTTAAGACTTTCTGCATCAATCCTCTGGTGAATATTTCTTATGCACCTACTATGTGCAAAGTGCCCAAAGAAAGTCAAATTATCTTGGGAATTACGGAGCAGTCCATTAGTACCTTCCATACTCAGCCTATCCACCCTGAAAGGCAAGAGTGACTGAAAGGCTGTTGTTTTCCTAAAATAAAAGATGTATCGTTTCCTTTTGCAGAACAAGAGAGCCGCGGCTGAACCAAGCATGGAGCACTCCACCACCACCTCGCCGGCGAGCCAGGGCTATGCAGTTATGAACTTGGGAAAGACAATGTGGGACCACTGAGACACTTCTTGCTCGAAGATGTAGACTGGCTGGCAGGGCCAGCAGCCTGGGGAGGGGACGGCCGGAGAAGCCACTGATGGAAGAGGAGCTCAAACATTCAGCAAAGGGAATGTGAGCCTGATCACAGAGAGAGAGAGAATTCTGCTCTGCCTCCCAGTAAGGCAACAGGGGCGAGAGAGGCAGAGAAAGACGGAGCGTGGCGGGTTTGTTTCAGCCACCGACCACACTGTACCAGCTGCTGGCTCCTCCTCTGCAGGGCTGGAAATCCTTTGGGGGAGCCGGGACAGAGGGGAGGAAGAAGCAGGAGAGAATAAACATGGAGAATGAATTTCTTGCTGTCCCTGGAGACAATGTTTCCTTTAGGTGACAACAGAGGTTAATATCGTGAGCAGCGAGCCACTGAGCCCAGAGACACCTCGCTTGGAACAAGGTGTTGGAGATTTATTGAACTCTTCCCTGAAAGCGCCAATGCATCTCTCCATTCAGAGACCTTGATGCAACGTTCCCGAGACGTTCAAGAACTTCTATCATTCTCTACCTGCCTGTATCCACGTGCATACTGTCCCCCAAGACCAGCCCCTGCTCCTCAGATCCCACTAAGGACACCGGCCTGCTAGGGTTTCAAGTTCACACACACAGTTTTCAGGCATTTACTCTGCAGAGGGAAAAAACAAGGGCGGTAGTTTCTTCTTGATCCCTCTCCCCCTCCCGCTGTGTCTGTCCCTAACAGGTGGTCATGTCTCTTCTCATTCTTCAGCACACTAGTTAATTTCAAAAGCAGCAAGAGAGGCAAGGACAATTTTTTTTTTTGATCCCAAGAAAATAAATGAGCGAAGGAATTGGCTGATCTGTGGCTGTAAACTAACCCGAAAACTTGAAATTCATATTTCATTTGAATATGAGTTTTTGGTCAAAATACTTATATTTGAGGCTAAAAGGAGCCATTGAGTTTTGATAAATTAAAAAATCTCTTGCATTATCAGTCTGGAGGTGTATCTTTTCCTCCCTGGACCTGAAAGCAAACACCCACGGGAAGCTCTCTGTGGTCGGATCTGTGTGACGGGCACTTTGGATGGCGTGGAGGGAGGAAGGTGTGGCCAGAATCTATTTGGGGGCCTTGCACCACCAGAGCTTCCTTCTCAGGCATTTACTTTCTCTCAAAGCACGACTTCCCATTCTCTTCTTTACTATTGTCCCTCGTGTGTGGAAACTCTCTCCTTTCTCTCTTTCCTCCCATCTCTCCCTCCCTCCTGCCCTCCCTCCCTCTTTTCTCTTGGTCTCTCCTCTGTGTTGAGTTCATTAGTTATTTCTTTAGAATGTCATAAAAAATGATGCTTTGGCCCCCGCTACTCACTGTGTGTAAAGAATAATCCTTTGGTGATATGAAGAGACCACCATTGCTGAACGCCCCCCATGTGGCAGGCAGTGGTCATGTGTTCATCAACAAGGGCAGGGTGACATCTGGCACTGTCATGTTTGCTGTGGGTACAGAAGGGAGCAGAACAGACTAAAATCCCTGCCCTCGTAGGGCTGGTAGTCTAGTGGCAGACAGACAAGGAACATAGTGAGCAAGCAGTGCAGTGTGCTGGAAGGGGTAGGCACTCCACAAACACAAAAATAAATAAAACCACTAAGGGTGCTGGGCATGGTGGCTCACACCTGTAATCCTAGCACTCTGAGAGGCTGACTCAGGAGGATTGCTCCAGGTCAGGAGTTCTAGACCAGCCTGAGTGAGAGCGAGACCCCATCTCTACTAAAAAATAGAAAGAAATTAGCCGGACAACTAAAGATATATATAGAGAAAATTGGCCGGGCATGGTGGCACATGCCTGTAGTAGTCCCAGCTACTCGGGAGGCTGAGGCAGGAGGATTGCTTGAGCCCAGGAGTTTGAGGTTGCTGTGAGCTAGGCTGATGCCAGGGCACTCTAGCCCGGGCAACAGAATGAGACTCTGTCTCCAAAAACACCCCCCTCCAAAACAAAAAATGACTAAGGGAGTCTATCAGGGATGTAGGGTGGAGGATGTTGGTTGCAATTTCAAATGAGGTGGTCAGGGAAAAGCAGGTGACAGACGTTCATTTATTTAATCCCTAAACCACCAACCACCTTTGAGGTGGATATTATATTTCCTTTTTTACAGGAAAGAGGCTTGGAGAGGTTAAATAACTTGCCCCAAATAACACACAAGGCTGCGGTGCAGGAAGCGAACTGAGTCTGGGTGGCTGCAAAATTCTTTCGATGACACCACAAAGCTACATCTGAAAACTTAACAAGTTACAGGCGATGTCCATTTGCTATTTTCTGAAAATGCTTGAAATCGTAAAGCAATGGGCCATTTACATCGAGGACACTTCCAAGATGAAAGGACAAAAATAAAGAGATGCGTGGTGAGTTTGGCCTGAAGTTCGGGGTGAGAAATTGAATGTCACACTTCCTCGGCCTTAGCCACTCAGCTCCCAGGAGTGAGGGGGTCAGGGAAAAGTCATCGCCACTTCGAAAGGTGCAGGACAGCTCCAGACAGCAGCTAGGAGGCGGTAGTATGTTGGGGGAGTCAGGTGGCTCGGAATGCAGGCTTCCTGGGTGCTCCATGGGGGACTTAGTGGGACAGAGACAGAATAGAATCCGGTGCACGCAGTGAGTGGGAAAGAAGGCCGCAGCAGCTCGGGTCCACTGCACAGAGCTCTCGGGAGGCCTTCAGGGTGCACGTGGCAGGGGGAAAATGTAGCTCGATGAGCATAAGAGGCCTGGATTCAAGTTCTGGCTCTGCCACTTTCTGCCCACATGACCTTGGTGTGTCGTCTCGCTCCTGTGAGCCTCGTTCTGCTCACCGGAACTGGGGAAGCCAGGGCAGGGAGAGCAGTGGGAAGAGCTGGGACTCGCGGGTGGAGGAGCCAGGTTTGGCTAACAATTGGGACTGGCTGGAGACGCTGGGCCGGCTCTGCGGAGACTGCTGATGAGAACCCAGGCCTTGGGGCAAGCTTTCAGGGTCCTGTGAATTGGACGGGAGGTTTGCCAAAGAGTAGAAGGTTCTGGGGCAAGTAAACAGGGGTGGTCCATTCTGATGCGAGCTCTCTGCTCAGAGGTGTCTATGCTGGTGAATAGCAAGATGGACCTGGGAGGGGTAGATGCCGGGAGGTTGCTTGGTGGGACAGGGTGTGTTGCTTCAGTGGCGCCTGCACTTCACCAGCAGTTAGGCCCTGACTCCACCAGAGTGCAGGATAGCAACGTAGCAAAACTGCACCTACACCCCATGAATATACACACATAAAAAGTAAATGGGGGGAAAAGAGAGGAAAAAAATAGATCAAACTGAACTTTGGTATACTTTAAAAGAAAAGGGAAGAAAATCAATTGGTTGTTTTTTCCTTCCCTATAGAGGCTGTGTGTACCAATCACTTTTCTTTACCTTTCTTTGAATAATTTGCCTTCACTCTAGCCAATTAGGAGCTGTGCAACCCCAATGACTGACTTCTTTTGAATTCACTTACTTTATAATAATGGACCCATGACTCATTATTATTCTTTTAAAAAACAAGTTCCAGGAAGAACAAACAAGTCATTTTGACTTCCTCACCCCTTTTCTCTCCCTCCCTCCCTCTTATCTCTCTCTCTCTCTGTCTCTCTCCCCCTTTCTTCCTCTCTCACTTGATTACTTGATTGTCACATGTCCTTACGATGTTTGCACTCATTTCAGCAATTTTAAGACTTTCTGCATCAATCCTCTGGTGAATATTTCTTATGCACCTACTATGTGCAAAGTGCCCAAAGAAAGTCAAATTATCTTGGGAATTACGGAGCAGTCCATTAGTACCTTCCATACTCAGCCTATCCACCCTGAAAGGCAAGAGTGACTGAAAGGCTGTTGTTTTCCTAAAATAAAAGATGTATCGTTTCCTTTTGCAGAACAAGAGAGCCGCGGCTGAACCAAGCATGGAGCACTCCACCACCACCTCGCCGGCGAGCCAGGGCTATGCAGTTATGAACTTGGGAAAGACAATGTGGGACCACTGAGACACTTCTTGCTCGAAGATGTAGACTGGCTGGCAGGGCCAGCAGCCTGGGGAGGGGACGGCCGGAGAAGCCACTGATGGAAGAGGAGCTCAAACATTCAGCAAAGGGAATGTGAGCCTGATCAGAGAGAGAGAGAGAATTCTGCTCTGCCTCCCAGTAAGGCAACAGGGGCGAGAGAGGCAGAGAAAGACGGAGCGTGGCGGGTTTGTTTCAGCCACCGACCACACTGTACCAGCTGCTGGCTCCTCCTCTGCAGGGCTGGAAATCCTTTGGGGGAGCCGGGACAGAGGGGAGGAAGAAGCAGGAGAGAATAAACATGGAGAATGAATTTCTTGCTGTCCCTGGAGACAATGTTTCCTTTAGGTGACAACAGAGGTTAATATCATGAGCAGCGAGCCACTGAGCCCAGAGACACCTCGCTTGGAACAAGGTGTTGGAGATTTATTGAACTCTTCCCTGAAAGCGCCAATGCATCTCTCCATTCAGAGACCTTGATGCAACGTTCCCGAGACGTTCAAGAACTTCTATCATTCTCTACCTGCCTGTATCCACGTGCATACTGTCCCCCAAGACCAGCCCCTGCTCCTCAGATCCCACTAAGGACACCGGCCTGCTAGGGTTTCAAGTTCACACACACAGTTTTCAGGCATTTACTCTGCAGAGGGAAAAAACAAGGGCGGTAGTTTCTTCTTGATCCCTCTCCCCCTCCCGCTGTGTCTGTCCCTAACAGGTGGTCATGTCTCTTCTCATTCTTCAGCACACTAGTTAATTTCAAAAGCAGCAAGAGAGGCAAGGACAATTTTTTTTTTTTTGATTCTTATTTTCATCAAGAGGGTAATGAAAAGAATCATCTCAGGAGACAAAAAAGCCTGATGAAAACCAGAGAGCAAGAGATCAGAGGAAGACAGGACTGTTTTTCATCTGGAGTCATTAGCAGCATCTTAGAGAGGTTTGAAATCTGTTCACAACTTCGTGGATATGGGCAGAAAACACAAACTAAGTGGTGATGAGGGAGAGCTTTTTTGAAAGTCCAGTTTCTCACAAAAAACACAGGTTGGGGGAAGCCAAAGCCCTGACAACTTGATCTCCATAAAGGCTGACCCTATTCTGAACGCTCATAAAAGCCAGCACATCAACACCCCCCAAGAACTGTCTAAGCCAACTTTCAGAAATAAGTGAAACACACACACACACCCATTTAATTAAACCTTTCACAACCCTTAGAAATCAGTATAGTCTTTGAAAACAAGCAGCTTGAAATCTCCAAACCACTTCCTAAGTGGCTGAAGCTGAACTTCCCAAGGCGGCCCCAGGCCTGCAACGCCCTGTATTGACAGAGGCTTTGGGAATGAAAGGCCAGGTCGAAATGGGGCCCTGAGCACCAGCCCTTCCTGCCTGGGCCATGGCTACAAGTGGAAAGGGAATATCAGCCCCTAATGGAGCCTGGCTCAGCCCTCCCCTTGCTGCCTGGAGGCAAGTGCCTGGGGCTGGACCACCGAGGCAGCTCCTAAACCCAGCACGCAATCCTTGGGAGGTGTTGCAATTCTAACCCTTCACAGATGATTCAGGAAGAGGGAGGGCAGGCGGCTTGGAGAGAAAGTTAAAGGGTGGGCAGCACATTTGGGGATGTGGGCATCAAACAGATGGAATTTTAATGAAAATACTTAAGCCTTTTAATGCACAAGTGATCCAAAGCTACCCCCGGTCTTCTTACCTTCTGGGAATTATATGTTTAAAAGATCACAGTATTAAGAATGTGGAAATAAAACCCTGATTTTAAAAAAAGTATATTTATACCAACCTACTGATTGCCGGGTGTATTTACCCTAAAATAATGTGCTGTCTTTCATCTAGTCTCCTGGCTACATATCTCCCTCCATCCATCTAACTAAAATCTGAGGAAGGCAAACTGTCTCTATGATCATTTCGCTAAAGCAGTCCTCATTCACTTTGCTTTTCTTCTCTTTTGGAATAGAAGTCTGTCATAAATGTTTAATTAAATGGAAGTCTTTCCACTGTTAATGACTAGCTGTATGAAAGGCTTTTCATTTTTTCAGGAGGGGTGTGTATGTGTGTTTAAAACAGTCCCTATTAATTTCCTGATATTGATTCCCTGGCTGGGGAAGAGCATATAGTATTCAGCATAGAGCTCCTCTGCAGAATATGTTAAAGGCAGCGGTTTGGATTGAGAAAGGGCACCAAATGCAGTATGCGTCAAACAGACCATCGCTCAATGAAGTCACTTAGCTATTCAAAACATGTTCAGCCATCACTCAACCGTTTGCACCAAGAATGTTTGGAGGGGGGCATGGAATCTGTGCTTTCCCAGACGTAACCGTTTCCCAAAGAGCGGCTTTTGCTCAGTTTGGGTTAGACCCCCGGGGCCACGTCAGTTTCTCCCTCACCCATCCGTTTCCCTCTCTTCACCCCCATCTCCTGGTCTCAACTCCCTGCATCACCATCCCATGTTGAGCTTCACAAACAATCCTGCAGTCCCTGCTTCCCGACGCTGCCTCAAACGGCCTCCGGTGTTGGTTCATCGCACAAGCAAAGCACATAAGCCTTTCTTTCCACATGGAAGCGTATGTATCACTCTGTGCATGTCCTTCTATGGGTGGCCGTCGCTTGCACACACAGACATGTGTAGCCATTCAAATACAGTCTCTCGCATTAAAGTCTGTTGCTAAATGCAGGCTGTATGACCTGCAGGAGTTGTTTTTCTGTGCTTATTAACGTGTCCCCAAAGCACATGCCTTCATCCGTCCCCTGCTCTCACAGCTTTTACACCGTGGGGCCCTTTCCCACAGCGCAGGCACACACGCCTCAACGACCCTGCAAGATCAAGGCGAACAGCTGACACCCCCGCCCCACTGCCTCCCCAGTTTCCCCCTCAACCTGGCGGTGCCCTCGCCCCCCCTCCCTGCCTGCCTGCACAATGTCTCATCCCCAAACCGGCTGCAGTGCTGACTCCACTCGCTCTGGCTAACAGACATGCCACTCTGTGTGGAAGCGAGTTGGTTCTCAGCCTAACCTGCAAGTGGATTGCTGTGTATTAGAACTTGGGCTTGTTTCCTGTGAGAGACGTATGTATTTTTAGACTTTGAAAACGTTAAAACACACACATACACACACGTAGCCAGCCGCCTTGAATGATACGTGTGGCTCACAGACATTACGAAATGCTCTTGAACTCAGCCTGAGATCCTGGAATAATTAGGATTTACCAAATAAGGATTCTTCGAAAAAACAGATTGTTTTTCTTTTTTTAAAAAAAGGAGATTTGCAGATGATGATGCGTCTGGGACTTTTGGGGAGTAAGAGGAAGAGGAGGGAAAAATGAAGAACATTTTTGAATTCTTCATTGCCAAAAGAGGGGCAGCATTAGAGAAACAATTACTTTCCCTTCTCACTGACAGCAACGCGAAATCCAACGGCAAATCCTAATGGTTCCAAAGCAGGCAGAGAGCACCTTTGACTTTTAAAGACAACCTCTTGTTGTTATCACCATGTCATAGATTATTCCAATGAAGAGGTTTGGGGGAAGGGGGGTGGAGGAGGCGAGAGAGTGGAGTATGGGTTTTGCTTATTGATTTTCTTTCCTCTGAAACTAACCCAACCAACCTTGATCTGTGGTGGAAGAAGTGAAGTAAGAAAATGGTGGAATGTGAAGGGGACTTATTTGGAGGAGGGTGGAGAGGGGGGAGTGGGGAGGGGAGGGGTGGGGTGGAGAGTGGGGAGGAGGTGGAAAATCAAATACCTTCTAGGCAGCAGGTTCTCCATAATCCAGAATGGGTCATAACTTCCTCGTTCTTTTTGCTGGTTTCATTCTCACTGACACTTTTGGTCTTGCAAACCCCTCTGGAGTAGAGCCAATAGTCGGTTCCCACAGCTATGGTCATCAGGCTGAAGGCAGCGAAAGCACCAACGGTGGTTAAAAGCATTTGAACACCTCGATCAAACAGCCCCATAATTCTTCATTATATAAACACCCAACCGACTTCTGGTTCTCGGGAGAGTGTGTGTGAGGGTGCGAGTACTAAAGCAAAAAAATAAAAATAAAAATAATTCCACTACTAATATAATGGATATATGTGTGAATAGAGAATATGGAGTTATAAAAAAAAGGGAGATAAGAAAGCTCACGGAAAAGAGTGTAAATTATAAAGATCACACGGGAAGAGAGGCTTGCCTTTTGAGATCACAAACTGTTCCAGTTGCAGTGATTTTTTTTTAAAAAAAGGAAAAAAAAAATAAAAAGACACCCCCCACCCCCCCAAGTGAGATGCCTTAATCTCTTTTTCTAAAATTCTGGTCTCCAGTTTCCATATGTGATAGCTAATTTGGAGATGGCTTCCACAGTGAACCAGGGAACGGCCGAATTCTCAACACCATCTCTCATGGTCGGGACCTAGACAGTTAGAGACTGCAAGAGCCGAGATGCAACCTCCGGTCTTCGTTCCCGGCTCTGCGGCCTGCGCCATGAAAATCCTTTGCTCCGCCAGTTCTCTTCCTTGGGGGGTCTCGGCGCCTCCTTTTTCAGACCAGACTTCCCAGTATTCTGCGAGCCCTGGAGCTCAGCTGCACAGGTGCGGGGGTCTCGCCTCCCATGGTCCTGCCCCGGCGGCGGCGGCGGCGGCGGCGGCAGCAGGGCGGGCGCGGCGCGGCGGCAGGACGAGCAGCGGCGGCGGTTATTGTTGTTGGTGGCGGGGGTAGTGTTGGCGAAGTGGGGGAGGGAGGGGGTTTCTCCCGGAGACTCGAGGCGGGTTTCCCTCCCCCTATCTGCAAAGCTCCTGGAAACAAGGCAGCCGGCGTCTTGCTGCAGGATGGGCCGCCCGCCTGCCCCCCCACGCGCGCCGGCGGCCCGCGCTCCCACCTACTGCATTACCGCTGGTGCTGAACTGGACAGCTCCCCGCGCCGCCCGCGCCGCGCTCGGCCGGCCGCCCGCCAGGAGGGGGGCGCGGGCCACCGTCCGCCCGCTCCCCGGGGCAGCGAGGCCGGCCAGGGCGGGGGCTGCCTGCCCGCTTCTCACCCCTTGCCCAGATCCTAAAATGAGCGCTCGCCCGGGCTCCCGGAGCTCAGAGGAAGGCGTAGCTAGAGACAGCTCTCTCCCTCTCCCTCTCCCCCCACGCTCCCCTGCCCTCCCCCCCTGGTGTTTCTTCCAGCTCAGCCTCCTTCTCATTCCATCTCTACGTGCCCAGAGCCTCAAATGCAACCCTCCCATCACAATCAGACGGCACAAAACTTCAACCAGCCGTTTCTCTGCCTGGAAGCAGTGAAAGTATAGCCTGGATGGGTAACTACAAACACCGTCTCTGTCTGTTTTTTGGATAATCGTGTCACTTTGCTTTTCGGGGGATTGGTTTTGTTTTACTGGCTCGTGAGCTACATCTCCTTTGGGTTGTTCCTCTCTGGTCTCTTTGTCTCTCTCTGGCTACCAAGGGGTGCGCGTTGCACTGTCTGTGTCTCTCTGTAGTTTTCCGTGAAATTGCAACCTTGCTTCTACAAGCAGACATTTTGGAAAGATTATTCATGAAAAAGGGTGCAAAAGGGTGACGGGTAGCCGGGGCTCGGGCAATGATTTTCATCTCAAGGGTGAACATGTTTTCAGGGGATGTGGGTGAAATGTGAATCCTTCTAAGTTTCCTATGTCATTCGTAACTGGTTTGGAAGAGATAAAAAAAAAAAAAATCTCCCAGCTATGAACACCAAAATGCATCACCACCCCCTGTTCCTCAGCAGAGCCGTTGCCGTGGGTTAATTACAGTGTCGCCCCTTGTTTCTGTGTGTGCAACTTTTCCGTAACCTGGCCTCTGGGGAGCCAGCAGCACATCAGTCCCTGCTGCTACTGATCACATTTTTTCTCTGATCGGTTTTCTAGTTGAGGGAGTGGGAGCACATGAGGCATGACATGGGTGCATGTTTTTGATCTTTTTGGGGTTTTGGGGGGAGGGGGGAAGCCTGAAGAGGGCGGTGAGTCTGATAGCTCAATTGGAGGGATTAGAGATGCTTCAGTCTCGTAACTCAATTATTCCATACTTTCCTCTCTCTCCCTTCACTCTTTATCTTAAGATCATTTGCTTGACAATTTCTCAGTGATCTGGTGGTTATCAAAGAGTACGTAAGAGACTACTGGATTAAAAACAGTCTTTGTTTGGTGTTCGCCCATTGCCTAACTCCCTTCCCTCAGGTCAGAGTTCGTCTGCAGGTACGGCCAGTGCATTGTTTTTGGCGTAGGAAAACTACCTGTTTTCCCACCCTGCACTGAACTTCCCTTGTCCCACTCTGTTTTCCCTTCTCAGACGGGCCGGAGTCCTACCAGGGCCAACTGCTGGCTTCTCCTATCTGGGAGAGGGGCCTGGCGTCTGGAGAATAGAACCAAGATTCCCGCAACGTCTGTTAATGTACTACAGCAAGAGCTATATGTTTGCAAGCTGAGGATTTCTCCACTTTGGTTTCTTGTCCTGTGAGGATGGGGGTGGGAATGGGGGTAGGGAGGGCTGATCTGCTGATCTCACTCAGCAGAGGACCTTGCAAGTTCAGCCAGTGGCCCTGGTGGGTGATTTTACTGGCTTCCACCCTTGAGGAAAAAGTGAGGGGCAGGCACCAAGGCCTCTTAGACAGGCTGGGCCTTTTGGGGGGAGTGGAGAGAAGCCGGGGTGTAGTCACATGAGCCTGAGGGGCTTGCCCTCACTTACGCCTGTCACCTTGGTTGCCTTTGACCTGTCCAAGAAGTCCCTTTAGACTGTAGATAGAGCCCTTCTTCTCATCCCCCTCCCCCTTTCAGACCAAGCCCTGAACATTTTACTCAAAGAAAACCACTCACAGAGGCTCAGAAGCGCCTGTGTGTCCATAGGACCTGCTAACGTCTCAGCCACCAGCAGCGGCTGCAGCTTTAGCAGCATTTGATTAATCTTCTGGCCAGATGATCATTGAGAAAAGGAAAGGGGGTGGGGGAGGAAAGTAACAGCTTCTAGGCTGCCAGCCCGGAGTGCGCAGAGACTTCTGGAGACGGAGCGGGCCTGGGGCACAGCTTGACTCTGCTGCTTGGGAACTGCCTGGCTCCAAACAGCTTGGCTTCCTAGAACCTCAGTTTCACCCTGTGTACAATGGACACCTGGGCACCTGACTGTCCCTTTCCAAAGCTCTTCCCATTTACTCCCTGCTTTTGACTGACCACCCCTGTTCAGAACTCTGTCATTGCATTTATAGCACTTTACTGTGCATGTGTGGCTTCCCTCACTGACTAGCAAGCCCTTTGAGGTCACAGCCATGGCTTGTTCACTCTTATATCTCTGGGACCTAGTTCAGGGCCTGATACATAATAGACGCTTGATAAACAATGTCTGAGTGATTACAGTGAGGATTAAATCATGTAAGATGGGTGAAGTGCCTAGCACACAGTAGGCGCTCAATAAGCGTCAGTTTCCTCTGATTTGTCCTCCCCCCTTGTTTATCCAGAGTGGTCTCCAGCTGCTTCTTCTATGTGACTCAGTACCACTCTCCTCCCTCTTCCCAACCTAGCTCTATTCCTTAGGTCCCTCCTGCAGACCAGGCAAGGCTGTCTGGGAAGAGCTGGCTTGGTGCAAGCCCCATTCGCTGGTCGGGACCCACCGGGCGCTCATACTAAGTAGCTGCTAAACGGATGCTCTTAGCGAAGCAGCTTTGTATGCCTGTGGTTGGTTACTTGGGAAGGGCTTAGAGGAAATTAGCTGAAATGCCACAGGCCTATTTTGAGCTGCTTCTTTGATGTAGTGGAAATAATATGGGATTTGGGTGCCGCAGACCTGGCCTTGAAGCACAAGGTTGCCATTTCCTTGTTGTTTGACCTTGGACACTCATTTAACCTCTCTGGGAATTTGTCTCTTCATCTGTCAAGGAGGACCATGGGTATGAGCCTTATGGGTGGTTGTCAGTGTTGTGATAATAGCAATGACAATAGCTGATGTTTCCTGGACATTTGCTGCATGCCACGCACAGACCTAAGCTGAATCCCACAGTGATCCTTTGAAGGAGATGGCACCATCATTTCCATTTTACAGATAAGGAAACTGAGTCACATAATGGTTTAAGTGTATGGCATAAGGTTGTCCTGATAGTGAGTGGCAGAGCTAGGACTCTAATCCAGCAACCTGGCTCGAGAGCCTATGTCTCAACCATCTGTGTCTTGACCCAAGGTAGGAACTTTCTGAATAAAGGTAGTACACCAAGGCTATGTGCTTCATCTGCAGATCTGGTAAAAATTTATGGAGCAACTTCTAGGTGTCAGGCATTTTCACACAGATTCTCACACTTAACTCTCCAACAATCCCGAAAATGCATATTAATAACTTTTCCTATAAGTGAGTAAACAGAGGCTCAGAGAGGTCGTATCAAGCCCCAAGGTCATATAGCAAGTAAATGGAACAGCAGAGATGTGAACACTTTGCACTGCTTCAAGTTCTGCTAGCTACAAGTCCAACGTTTATTCAGTTATTTATTCGTGCAAAGAATTGAGCACCTACTATGTGTCAAGTACCATGCTAATTCCTGGGGACAGACATGGCCCCTGCCTCCAGGGACCTGCAGGCGAGCAGGAGAGCAGACAGCTAAGGAACAGCCACACCGAGGTGAGGAGAATGAGGCGAGGGATGCCGTGGGGCCATGAGGCAGGGAGACCAAACCCAGCGTGGGGGCTGAGGGGCATCCGCCCTGAGCACATGCCATTTAAACTGAGGGGTAGGGAGAAGAAAAGGTACCTAGGCCAAGATGGGGCTGGGTAGGTGGGTGGGAGGTGTGCTAAGAAGAGGAAGAACATCTCAGCCTGGCAGAATAGCTTATGCAAAGGTTCAGAAGTGTGAGAAAAGATGATTGGTTAGTTTTAGGGAAAAAATACTAAGCATGGCTGAGCCTAAGACGATGATGGGAAATGTTTTAGGCTAAGTGCTTGGAGACCACGGAGAGGAGGTTGGTGCATACGAAATCACCTGGAGGAGGCTGGTGGGGTGTGGAACGTGAGATCCGGATCTAGAGGCAGAGAGACAGTGAGACGGCTGTCGCCTGGCTCCAGGCAAGAAATGGTGGTGGCCTGGGCCAGCACAGTGGCAGTGGGGCTGGGGGAAAGTGGAGGTGATCTGGGGCGCTTGGGAAAGAATTGGTGATTATTGGTGCACATTAGCGAGACAGGCACCGTGAGCGGGGAACAGGTGGGAGTGTGTGTGTGGGGGGGGCAGGGAGGCTGGGGAAGCCGAGGATCCTGCTTCGGTCACGTGTCCAGCTGGGCTACATCCCACTGCCCCTTCACTCCCTGCTCCCGTTCTAGCTCTCCTCAGCATGCCAATTAATTAATCAAGAATGTAAAGAATTCATGCAATTACATTCCAGTCCCACTTGCATTCCCACTGGAATGTAAGCCCCATGAAGGCCGAGAGATTTTGATCTTTTGTTCACATTGTATTTCTAACACTTAGAACACAGCCTAGCACAGAGCAATGCTCAATAAAAATCAATTACTTTATTGATATAAAAATCCAAATGCATGTCTGCTGTGTGCCAGGCATTGTGCTGAGGTACCAGGGGTGCAGGTGAGATTAAAATACCAAAGTCAGGGAGATTGACAAGTAGACAGCTAATCCAGGGCACTGTGACCAGTCTGGGAGAGAGCTGTGAGTGGCTGGCATTCCCCACTGTGCGTGTGCACAGGTCCCATGCTTCTCTCTTGGCACTTCTTCCTGTGCTTCAGAATTGCCATTTAGTGCCTGAGCTTGTCCGGCACATAGTAGGTCCTCAACACACATTTGATGAATGAACGAATGAGCAAAATGGAGATGTGCTATGGAAGTCCAGGGCAGGAAGTGTTTATTTCTGTCTCGAAGTGTCTCAGAAGGCTTTGTCTGGTGACAAGCTGACCCTCAAAGGCCCGAGGAAAAGGTCACAC